TCTGATTAAGAGGAAAATAGGCAAGCAATCGCTTAAATCCAGATTCTGGGATTTGAGGAAAAGCACAAAATGTCCTGAGACTCAAGGCAAGCAGTCCAATAGCACTCAGAGAAAGCCAGGGAGAAGTTGACTGGACAATACAAGCTGGATGAAGGGAAGACAATGGTGGGTGCTTAGGACTAGACTGAAGTTTTCCATGTTAAAATCCCTGCATTGGTCTGCTTTAGAGACTGGGGGTTCCCAGCACAACCCGCATTGTACTGAGGGCCTACATAATAAACTATGTAATGAGATGTGGTCTTGCCTCTCCCACCACCTCTGCTCTCCACTTGCCCCTAAGGAAGCAGCCTACAGCTCTGCTATTGCAGTACACACATCTGTACCCAAAACAGGGACAGCCTTTGGGGGTTTCCTTTAGGCTTCCCTGCCATCCATTTGCAGCCCCAGCACCCCACTTGTAGATGAGAACACCAGTGATGCCATCCTCTCCCCTTGGGAAGCTCACAAAGTCACCTCTTGGCCTCACACATGTTTTGGCATCGGGTATTCCTGAATGCAAAAGAGGTGACATAACTCTGTCTTCCAAACCATATCATGGCAATGTCACTCCCCCATGCAAAGGCACAGTCCTCCCAGGGCTTTAGGTTGCTATTTCTTATCAGGGTGGTTTGCAAGACCCATCTCCAACAGCACAGGTTGGCTCCTAACACCTGCACAGCCCAACATTATAGCAGGGTGTCATGATCAAACATCCCTGCTTCCATCAAGGGACTTCCTAGTGAGCTGATTTGCAGGAAACTACCCAATAATTTTTATATAAAACTTCTTCTACTGCTTTTTCCAACTCAAATGTTAAGACAGAAATGACTGAGAAAATCTGCCCCTTTTCTTGGCAATTTGTTCCAGTGGCTAACCACCCTTGCCATTAAAGACCTGTGCCATAATTTCTAATATGAATTATCTGCCAAGCACTGGTTACAGTTCTGCCTGTCACTGCTGCATTCGAGAACCCTTTAGTGCCTGATGTACTATACCAGCATCAATTTACACATCATTTTTCCTTCCAAGTGATGGGGGATGCAACTGCAGTATCTGCTGACAAGTATAACGTATTCAATAGCAGTGAAGATGTGACTGCACAGGCATCAAAGTGGGTGGGACAAACCTGTCTGGAAACCCTGTGTGGTACTCAGACAGACCCTGATTTGCAGGATACAGCTCCACATCAATATTCACATCTGTACCTTGAATTCACATAAAGAATGATGCCACCCAGGGATGCATGAAAAAAGGCATTTAGGTGCTGTACAGATGCGGATGCTTGCAAACCACACAGACTGTTCCGTGTGCCCAGCCGATGCCTGTGTTTGTGCCACCCTTCAAACTGCTGTCTTCTGCTGAGTGGAGCTGATGTGCCACGTAATCATATTGCTGCTTCACATCTGTCACCCTTGGAGCAATGGGAAGAAAGCACCACCAGCAAGCCCTGTCCTAAACAACCTCTGTCACTAGCCAGAGAGAAAACAGGAAAGACTAAAGAACACTGCTTTATCACAAAACACTGTCCTCCACTGAACTGTACCAACAAGGCAAGCAAAGAGCAGGCATTGCACCTCCAGGTATAAATAAACCATGTGCAATCGTACAGCTGTAGTACTTGCCAGGGCACTAAGCACTTTGCTACATAAGAAGACGGACCGGCTCAGGCACAGATGGAGACGTGATGAGGGAAAACGTGCCCCATGCAAAATGCTCATGTGTCCAAAACGCAGATTATGTCTTTACTCCCTCCTCACTCCTCATAAATATCACCAGGAACCATGCAGTTGTTCGGTACTAAAGCTACCAGCCAGCAAGGAGACAGAAAATAACACACCCTGCTCCTAAAATAGCTCTGTATCACCTTGCTGCAAGCAGGCGAAAGCTTCCTGACCAGGTATGCATGCATCTTCCTCTCTGCTAGCTCAGTCTGCAGCTCTGCACCCTTCCTGGCTCACAGGACCTCTGACCATGCCACCACCCCCTGAGCCAGCAGTGAGGGGTCAGGGTGATGTGCCTATCACCTAGGCCTCTCCAGCAGTAACACACTGAGACCAGTGCAGAGGCTCCACTGGGGCTCTGATGGACCTATTTTATTGCTGAACTGATGGATACACAGCTGCAGTGCACTGCTCTGAGCTGCAGTGCACTGCACCACGGGTACCTGTCACAGCTTTCACTAAATCCATGTACCAGGAGCAAAAGACAAACCCTCCGTACTCCTGCAAGCAACAGAAACACCACCCAGGTCACAAAAAGCATCATTTCCCTTCCCATGGCCTGTCAGCACTATTATCGATATACACCGGGGGGGGGGGGGGGGGGGGGAAATGTATTTTTTCTTATTAAGATGTCATACTTGAAAGCCCTAAACTGCAATTCCTAGCAGAGCTGCACCAGCATGATTACAGAAAAAGCCTGAAGAGAGAGGCCTGTAGGAAAACAGTGATACAGTAATAACCCACTAAACTAAAAGGTTCAGCTAAAAGGTGACAGATGAACACAAGATACACTGTTAAAAGTATACAGATACAGAGGTTTTTATCCCTAGCCTTGCTCCATGGCATCGGCATTATCGGTCGCTTCACCTGACAGTAATTCTTCGCATAAAAGTTACCGAAAAACACGCAGCCAGGAAGCATAAACCCTCTTTGTAAAGCGTTCTGGTTAAAAACAAGACAATACAGCTCGACTCTGGCAAAGAATTAAGCATAAACTCAAATATCAGCAGATTAAGTCCTTAATCAAACCAAAACCCACGCTTCGGTTCGGCGGGGGCACGGAGGGAGAACACCACGACTGCAGAGCTGCACAAGCACAGCGACAACTCACCATCGCCTCTGAAAGCCATCAGCTCCCACTAAAGTTACATTCCAAGCATGCACGTTCACCCAGGGAGCCAATATCCCGTTTTATAAACTAATTCAAACACACAATTCATTCCTGCAACAGATGGGCCCTGCAAGGGCAGTGGGCCCGAGCCCTTCCTTATTTTCACTACTGCAGAGCTGCTTGACGTGTGGACATCAGCGGGCAGATGCAGAGGATGCAAAATCGCCCAGGCAGAGCTGGCAGCAGCCAGACCAGCCAGCCCCTCTCCCAGGAATGCCAGATGTACAGATGCAGAGTGGATTTTATTCCTACCAGGTATAGAGGCATTCCCACTGGCTGACAAACTGCACCTGTACAACTAATTGCCTTAATATAACTTAAAATACACAAAGGCACATTCAGATCAATAGGAATTATAACAACACTAACCTAGCTGTAAGCCCAACTCATGACCTAATGCTATGAAAGACAGAAAAGGGAGAAGGGAAAAAAATAAATAAAGGAGCATTTCTAAAATGATGCAAAGTATGTATAAGATCACATGAAACTCCCTGGGATGTGAACTGGCATTTATCAGGGATATGCAGCACCCAGCACAAAAGAGCATCTGACTGGTCCACGTGCTCGGAAAATATACATATTTATGAAATCATTTAAAAAATCCCAACAGAAAGGAAACTGGATGTTTATGAGACATGACTGAATATCAGACTGTATCCTTGTTTCCTATAGTGATGTCAGTGCTTCGGAGCTAGGTATTTTTTTAATATCCTCATATTTTACAACATATATAAGTGCTCTTACAATAAACCAGACCAGTTGGCACAAAATGACATTAGTGAGGCTGTAATTCTGCTCTATGAAGAAATAAATACTCCCATTTCAGAGAACCATAACCTGTACATATTATGCACTTCATACTTAGCAATGGTTAATATATTCCAATATACCTCCAGAAAAGCTCTTTTGTTCCAAATCAATAACTTAAATAATGTCTAGTTTTAAACATCTTAGTAAAAAGGAACTAGTGTGGGTTCACCACTCACTGTGTCTGACCATATACATGGACAGGCAAACATGTCTAAACTTGTCAACATGATCAGGATTAAAAAGGTCTCACTGAAGGCCTCCAGCATCTTTCAGATACAGTTATTGGTTCCGCTGGGCTTTCTCCACTCAGTATTTTAAGATGCAACAACCAACAGTTTAATAGATGGACACCAAAGTCCTAAAGCATGCAATGTCAATAAAAACATCCTAGCATTATTTATATATATATAAAAATGTGGCCTTTTAAAGTTCTACCTGGAAAATCCAGCATTTTAAGGAAAAAATGGCCTAAAAATCCCTTTGTAGAAACGGTCTTTGGAGCCTCCATGGAATCTTTGCTTTTCATTCTTCAGGCCCTCGTGCTTCCCAGATCTGAACCCCAAGGCCCACACCAACGACGGCCCGAGCGGAACAGCTCGCCTCTGCACATTAAGGGCTCCACTCGCCCCGCATACACACGCAGGCAGCAGCAGACAGCTGCGGGCCGGCTCCGCACGCAGCCCCGCGCCTCGGCCTGCGCGCAGCGCGCATTTTCCGCGCAGTTGCAGCGGGTACAAACAAACACCATCCCCCCCGACACCGGTCTGTCCCTAGGCCAAGGGGGGGGGGGGAACACCCATTAACACACAGACCCCACGTCCAGGCGGAGGGGGGGGAAGTCACACTGCCCCGTGTCATTTCGGATCACGGCAAGACCCCTAACACCGCCGCCCCTCACCGCGGCCATCTCTTTACGCTGGAAGGCATCCCGAAGCCCTTCGCCTCCCCATCCGCACGGATTTCGGCTGGCAATCGCTATTTTTAGCCCACCGTCGACCCAGCGCTTTTAAAATAAATAAATAAATACAGAGATGGGATGAAATTAAATCTTTTCTCTCCCTTCCCCCCCCACCTCCCACCCGCACGAACCCCCGCGCCTAAGCTGTGAACTCCGCCGCGACCCGCAAGACCACCGGGAGACATAAATAATAAAGAGGCAAAGGGGGTAAATAAACAAATACCCCCCAACCACCACGTAACCGACCTCCCCCTACACCGCCCCCCCCACCTCCGCCGGCGGCTGCAGCCCCGGTACTCACCGCGCCGCCCTGCCAGGGAAGGGGAGCTGCGGGCCGGGGCCGGGGCCGCGGAGCAGCGCGCAGGGACGCGGAGCGGCCGCGGGCCCCGCTGCCCATGTGCTCGCCGGAGCACGCGCTCGCCTCAATGGAACGTTGTGCTGGCGAGCGGCTCTGTGACGTCACCGCCCCCCGCCGCCGGCGGCCGCAGCCCGGGGCAGCGCGTTAGAGACCGCCCCGCGATACCGCACAGCACCGCACAGCACCGCACAGCACGGCACGGCACCGACCCGCACAGACCTGCACCGACCCGCACAGCACCGACCCGCACTGACCCACACAGCACGGCACCGACCCGCACAGACCTGCACCAACCCACACAGCACAACACCGACCCGCACAGCACCGACCCGCACTGACCCACACAGCACAGCCCCGACCTGCACCGACCCACACAGCACAGCACCGACCCGCACAGCACCGACCTGCACTGACCCACACAGCACAGCACCGACCCGCACTGACCCACACAGCACAGCCCCGACCCGCACAGCACCGACCTGCACCGACCCACACAGCACAGCACCGACCCGCACAGCACCGACCTGCACCGACCCACACAGCACAACACCGACCCGCACAGCACCGACCCACACTGACCCACACAGCACAGCACCGACCTGCACCGACCCACACAGCACAGCACCGACCCGCACACAGCACAGCACCGACCCGCACTGACCCACACAGCACAGCACCGACCCGCACTGACCCACACAGCACAGCCCCGACCCGCACAGCACCGACCTGCACTGACCCACACAGTACAGCACCGACCTGCACTGACCCACACAGCACAGCACTGACCCACACAGCACCGACCTGCACCGACCCGCACAGCACCGACCCGCACTGACCCACACAGCACAGCACCGACCCGCACAGCACCGACCTGCACTGACCCACACAGCACAGCACCGACCCGCACAGCACCGACCCGCACTGACACACACAGCACAGCACCGACCCGCACAGCACCGACCTGCACTGACCCACACAGCACAGCACCGACCCGCACAGCACCGACCTGCACTGACCCGCACTGACCCACACAGCACAGCACTGACCCACACAGCACCGACCTGCACCAACCCGCACAGCACCGACCTGCACTGACCCACACAGCGCAGCACCGACCCGCGCAGAACCTACCTGCACCGACCCGCACTGACCCACACAGCACAGCACCGACCCGCACAGCACCGCACACCACCGACCTGCACAGCACTGACCTGCCCCACACTACTACACAGACCCGACCTGACCCGCACCGAACAGCGCTGACCCTACCCACACCGAGCTCCTGCAACGCACAGCACCAGCCCGCGCACCACAGCACTGACACACCCAGCACCGCACCGACACTGTGCTCCTGCACCACACAGCACAGCACCGATCTGCACCGCACAGAATAGCATAGGACCGCACAGCACCAACCTGCACAGCATAGCACCAAGCCGCACCGCACAGCACAGTACCGGTCCGCACAGCACCGCATTGATACACACTGCACTGCACAGCACCACACCGATCTGACCCGCACCGCCCTCCTGCACCGCACCAACCCACACTTCACAGCACAGCACCGGCCCACACAGCACTGCACTGACCCGTCCCACACTCCTGCACTGCACCGACCTGCACTGTACCGTGCTTCTTCCCGCACCACCCTGCACTGCACCCAGCACACCCCCAAATACTTAATTGAAATCTATACAGATATATGCAGATAACTAACCTGATTGGGTGGCAGTGGAGCCCCATAGGTGCGGGGCAGCCGGCATGGGGAGGCTGCGGGGCCCTGTCCTGGCCAGGGTGGCTCTCTCGGACCGTCACATGCCACAAAAGAAGGGGATCAGCTTCAGCACAGGCAGAACGGAAGCAGGGGAGACCTCAACCGCTTGTCTGCTGCTGTTTTCAACCTTAACAGATGCCTTCGGTCCCATTCATCCTGAACCCCAGGGGTTCACTCACTGACCAGAATCAGATTGCAAAACTAGGTCCCATTCTTCTGTTCTCCCCAAGTTGATGTGCAGAAATGTCATGGATGTCTCTCAGTAGTCAGACAAGAGAAGGATACAGACATCTTAAATACAAGTAGGGAAAGTAGCTTCACACATCTCAAAGTACTGTGAGAAACAACATCAGAAACAGACCAGGCTGCAAGCTGGTGAAGCAGCAAAACAAAAGCAGATGTCCAGTATGTGGACAAAACAAGCTTTAATTTCCTCTTTTTATATATATATATATATATATATCTTTAACAAACTAAGATAAAACTGAAATGCAGTCTCCTTGATTCCAGGCTGGAACTGAAGCAAAGCAGAAGCTTTGATGCCACATGTGGTTTTTCCCCGGAACTGGTTTTGCTCTATACAGGAAGGAACCTAAAATCCCACTGTGCCAGCACCCTGGCAGTCATATGGGAGCCACAGTGTGTTTGTCCTGGGGTGGGCATAAGCCAAGAGTACCTATGAGAACCAGCGAAGGTTGTGGGCCCCGGTTAGGAGCTGCTGCAAAAGGCTATATCTAGTAAGTCTGCATTCAGCAAGTCTACATCCAGCTTAGCCACATTTTCATGTTGATGGCAAGTGCTGTCTCATTTAATAAGTAAATGTGTGCCCACCTCCACTACAATGTTTTGAATATTGCAATAAAAAGCTGATCCGTAAGAACAACTTGGTTGTCACAGGAGAAGCAAATGCCAGTGTGAAAGGTAAAGATTATGGTATAAAATGTGGCTTTATCCAAACAGCAGTTCTGTGGTCCTGCAGTTCAAGCAGGATACGATGCTGGGCTGGGAAAGGAGGCTTTGCACGCTCACCATAAGAGAGAGGAGAGCCCTTCCGATCAAGTGGATTGAAGGTCCTAGTGCCATTCCCTTCAGCAACCTGCTGCAGCAGGAGTGGAGGAGATGGCTTTGGGCCGTACTCCTGCAGCTGGCTGGAGACCAGGTCCTACATAAATGACCTTCTGAGGTCAGTGAACCTGGGAGAAAGACCAAAATCTAACAGCTACTCCTGAGACCAAGAGATCATTTTGGCAGCTGAAAAGAGCCTGAGTGCTGGAGCAGCTGACACACTTTTTTCTCCAAGCCGGTTCCCCCTCCACAGTCTGGGAGAAGTGGTGGCATGAATCTATTAGTCTGGCTTCGCATGGGTATTGCCCTTAAATGGGGCCCTGATGGCTCTGTCACAGCTCCTGGCTGCCAGAGCAGGAGAGAAATATGCATCAAATAGCCCTGAAAGTTGAGTTTTCATTCCCCTCTCCCTAGAACTCCTTTCCTTCCTCAGCAAAACACACGCTGAATCAACGTGCTGTTCCACATGAGCTCAAATTAATACTGCTTTTCCCAAAGCTGCAGACTTGCCTATATGTGTTACCAGCCCCAGCAGCAGTGCCGTGATGAGACACAGGTATCTCCATGCACAATTCCCAGCATGATAAAGCCAGGGAAAACATGAAAAAGAGAGTGAAAGCATTTGCCTGCCTGAGAAGTCAGACCACAAAGATACAACACAAAGACCCTATTTCCCCAGGCATGTAGAACGTGTCTTGTGTTTGTATCACTCAGGCCTGCAGCTTTTCTAGTGGTTGTACTCTAAAAATCATCTAGTATATAATGTGGATGTACTCGGTCCATGTCAATAAAGCACTTGAGTATAATCTGCTCTGTAACAGATTAGCACACTTACCCAGGCAAATTGCATTATTGCATTGCTCTAGGTTCACCCTGCAAGTTAAACAAGGCAAAGTCAAGGCCAAATGACGCAACATGCTCTTTCGAGGGCAAAACATCTGAGGCAAAGATCAGGGGTCAGGCTGCAACAAGGCTGTGCCAGCTTAAGGCTTCTGCCCTCCGGTGCTCTGCTATTGCTTCTCTGCCTATGGCCCCACCAGCCTTGCCGGGTGCCAGGATCACATGAGTGCTTCTTAATCCCTGTCAGGCAGAGCTGGCCAAGTCAGGTGAAACAAGGAGAGCTGTGACGTGCTCCTTGGGGTTAGCACAGCGTGGAGGTGACAGCCTCTGGTGGGTGACCACAGGCAGATGGAAACTCAAGTGTCCTCAGCCAGGGCAGGTGGGTGCAGCAGAGGCTCAGGCAAACCACCCCAAACATGGGTCATGGAGAAGCACAGCAGAAAAAGCAGCTGAAAATGTGTAATTGTAGCCAGGGATTAAGCTTGTTCCAGTTTAATGCCAGAACTGTCCAAAAACCTAAGCCATTTTAGATGTTCAGAAGAAAGGGCTGGGTCACGGAAGCCATTATTTCACATTTGCCTGCAGACAAAGGCACCCAGTTGAGCATCGGTGTCTTGTCCTCACTTCACCTTCTTGGCTATTATCTTGGAACTTTTCTTTCAGCCAGTGTACACCTGTTTATTCTTTAGCAGATGTTATGATTTGACATAACCGGCTCTTCCCCTTGCCCTTGCGCATACCTCCCTGCTGTGTTTACCAATATCAAGTTAATTCTCTGAAAAGTAGTGGTATAAGGAAATGGTGCTTATCATAATTTGTTTCTACTCCCCAGTCTTTTAATGTAAGTACTCATATTAATCTAAAGAAAACGCATTCCTGTCCTCAAACAGTGATCCATCTCTAGGTGACGGTGACTCACCTGGGACTCCCCCTTGGAGGGGACAAAGCCCCTGACTCCAAGAGCCAGGAGTGGGGGGCAATAACAGAGCAGAAGCAAAGACTGATAACTTTCTGAATCTACTGGAAAGACTTCCCCTGCCTTCTATGTGCTCTTTATGGTGAATGAAGAAGAGAGAAGAACGTGTTAAAGTAGCAAGGTTGCTACTCAGGTGCATAAGAAATATCCCCATCCAGAGCTGTGGGATCAGATTGCACCATCATCGTAGCCAGTTCCACTCCCCAGAATTGATGTAATTTTTTTTTCCAATATAATATTATAATTTCTACCTGTTTATTTCTTCATGCAGATTATACACAAATGTGTCCAGGCTGGCACTGCTCTTGATGGCTATATTGAGAACAATGAAAGTGGGTAAAAGGAACAGAGGTGGTCCGTTTTGTAACACAGCTATGTTAATGAAGCTGGGTTCAGTTTTGCTAGGACCCCAAAACT